AAAGGTAATTGCAACCACTTTTTATATGCCGTAAATACAATTACTACCATCCTCATAATTTACGGCACTAGTCTTTATATAATATCATGTAATCAGTGAGATTATTAGTTATTTACTCACTGACCATTATTATTGAAAAATTAATAAAATGTACTCAAATTTGGGCTTTGAATTTAGCTTTCATGTATGCTATATTCGAAAAATAAGAAAATGCATGTGTTATTAACTGTATTATCACAAATTCTCAGTTACTCAATTTTAATGGTTCCATAGAACCTTTATTGTACAAATAAAAACTTCAATAAAGATATAAAAATAAAAAAATCATATTGCAGTTGCATACTGCAGACATAAAAGTTTTAATTAACATTAATATCTGCAATACACAAGGATATAGGCATTATCTTTGAGAGTATTGAGATTATTGAAATAATGAGAAATTGGATCCATATATAATTTTTAAATTCCAAGGAACATCATTCATATGGAGATGGAAATCATTATAAGATACATGCTATTTAATCTTATCTTTGAGCTCACTAATTGTTTTGTTCATGGAAATGATAGCAACATAATTGTTATGAACACAATAGTGAATGGCAGTGAGTGAAACTTTGCATTCCTAAAATTAAAAATCTATAGTAAGTGAAATTTCATTTTCATAGATAAGTCAATTATTGTAAATGATGCATGACTCCAACTAATCCCAGATGTGAAACATATTGGGGGTTCAACATTTGATATGATGCAAAGAGTCTTGATTTTGAAGAATGTAAAATCCAAATCAATTATTTTTAACATTAATTGGTGATAATGAGAGAAAGATCTGCATTTTTAATAGTAAATTTTTGGTGCAAAATGTCACAAAAATTGCCAATTGTCAACCTTTACACAAAAAATTGTATTATTATTCTTTTTGTGCCACAGAATGATAAAATTAATCTCAAAATAATTTTTATCTAGACTTTTCTATGTATATAAGAAACACAGATTTCAGGGTCTCTCTGATTCATTCACAGATCGGCAATAAATATTTTTTTATTAGGTATTACATGGGGCATACTGCAACAAAACCAGACAAAGTGAACATTTGTATTACCAGAATTACAGGGCTCAATAGTGTTTGTTTAATATCACATTATCACAATTGTGCTACCAATATAGTGTGATCATGATATTCATCTAGACAAAAATAGTTAATATGAAACTCACATCAAATCTACTATGAATTACAGCACCATTAGAAGTATTCTAAAAAAGGAACAAGGTGAAAAAATTGCTCCTTACATTTTCAAAATAAATGATACTCAGCACTTGAAGCTCATCTAAGAAAAGAAAGGATTACCTATGAAATTTCCAAAAGAAAAAAAAAATATCACTGAAGGGACTTAAAGTCATGAAAAACAAAAAGTAAAAAAGAAACAAGTTAATTGAGAATTGTTAGCATTATCTGGTTTTGGGACCATAGAAAAATTCACATAATTTCATTTCTGCATACAACCGAGACATGAAATAAATTAATGTGTAAACAATAAATTCTACACAAGATAAAATAAAATTATTACAATGAATCTATTATTCATATTATATGAATAAAATTTGTCTTTTAACCCCTTTATGGAAAAAAAATCTTATGCAAATGTTATTTTATTTTTTTATATAACTCATTTTCTTTTTGAAAGAAAATAATAATGAACAATTTATATCATATCTTTTGTTGTAATTGTTGTAATTGCTGATTTGAGCTATTAATCTAACAAATTCATGTTATTATAATAGAATAATAAACCAGAAGGTTATAGAAAAGAATAAAAAACCAACATGATAACAAGATTAATTATTGATTAATGATTAATTATCAAAAAGAATTAAAGCTTATTATTAGAAAGAAAAAATTTTCTAAATAATATGTCTGAATCTGAATTTAAACTTTTTTTGCATTATATTATTATTAAAAATAAAGTCCTACTGATTTTTCTATGACAATTTTTTACATTTCTATTAAATTCTACAACTTTCTTTTAATATCAATGTTAAGAAAAATCATTAATTCATATAAAAAAAATAGTGGTGGTGATGGGGATCTCCTTGATTTTTGAAGTGAAGATAATACCAACTTTTTAGTTTTATTTTTACATTCATTTCTATACTCATTCTTATTATTATTTAATATGTTGTCAAGTTCTTTTATTTTATTTTTCAAGCAAATTGCCATATTCTAAGAAATGAAACTTTTGTTATTAATTGTTAAGATATATTAATTATTAAAATATAATTAAACTTTTTTTATACATACAATGATCACTTGACAAAATAATAATTATTTTCTTTGACTGGTATTAATTGACAATCAACTTCATGTATTCTATATACTCCAAAGCATTTTTTGTCTATGACAAAAACACTTAAATAAAATCCTAAAATAAATTTAAGGAATCAGAATCAATTAAATAAAAGGCTAAAAATGCCCAAATATAATGAAAAAAAGCAAAGGAGATACTATTGGAAATAAATATTATTTTACCAGAAATCAAAAATCCATACAATTCCAAATCTTTAAAATTTTCTAGTATAAAGCTATTAGATTTTTTCACATAATGTTTAACAATTGAGTCATGTGTGTCTTTCATGATTCTAAATAATTTGTTTTTGTTGCTTTTGGTTTTAACAATTGATTTTAATCTTTCTTTACACCAAGGGTCACCAGCAGTGTTGGCAAATCTGTCCAAACACCCCTTGTCCAATTGTCCAATTTGCTGTATTAGGCAATTTGGACTAATAGTTGCTGTGGCATTTGGACAATTGGACAGGACAAATCCAAATAAAAATTAATTGGACACCTAAAAATGCCAACCCTGGTCACCAGCAATCTCACCTATCAAATATTCATGTCGTTTTTCTCATTATGTTCTTATCTTTTATCATTAGATCAGGCTTTCTGCCAATTCTTTTACATTTCTAGGATATGTAAAAGTAGAAAATCAATCCAATGAAAAAATTTAAGGAAATGTATAATAATTACTTTTGTCTGATTATTATTTTCTTTCAATTCTTGATTACGTCATTCTTTGGATGCCTTGGACTTATAGATGCTGGTTGCAATTCTTGGTGATGGTTGCAACCATATTTGCGACATATAAAAATGGTTTGTGACACCTGG